TGGATTTGAGTTTTTGTTAAACTTCTAATTTAATTTGAAATTTTATGGACGCATGAAATCTTTTGCTAAAAATTTATTCATGGTGCGATAATAAACTCATGTTTAAGATTTTAGGTTTCACAAACTCTGAGTATAAGTTGATTTTGTTTCGAAAAGAGGCATGAGTGAAGTTCTTTGGGAAAATAAAATCTTGGTGCGCTTAGTTAACTAGAGTTTAAGATTTGCGGTTTCATAAATTCCGAGTTTAACTTAAAATAAACTCATAATGGGATATAAACTCGAGTTTAAGATTATAGGCTTAACAAACTCCGAGTTTAATTTAAACTTTTTACTAAAATAAGCAGACGCGAAATTGTCAGCAAAAAAATGGAGCGAAATAATAAACTAATAACTCGAGTTAATTATCGCACTCTATTTTTTAATAAGAGTCATAAAGTATTTTACAAGTAAAAGAAGGCGTGTTACCAGATCCTCGACTGATAAAAATTAGATCCTATTTCGGTTAATAACTCTCGTAACATACAAGATTGTCACTACTCACAAATTTTATATTAAAATATTCAATATAAACACTGAGATCTATGGCGAATATTAGTCTGATTTTGACGTTTCAAGACACTACTCATTGCCTATGAACCATGAACCCAAAAATTTTAAAGTCTACAATTATTAACTTCAAGAGATTTTTATCAACTACAATTTTTATGAACTACAATAAAATTCTATATAATAAGTGATCGTTGCCTGTTTTTACAACAGATTAGGTTATGGTTATCATCAGACATTTCACTCGGATAGTCCGTTATGGTACCTAAAAGTGCTCTATAACAGGTCTTAAGACAATTACAAATCGACAAAACGCTTTGAGCTTTTGTTGAGACAGCTAATGTAATTTTTGGCTATGTCTGCTGGTTCGGCGAAGATAAAACTACGGGGAGGTTTTAACCTCAGTGTTGCAATGGATGTTTCCACCTCACCCTTCTCCATAAAACTTTGACAACTAGCGTGCGACAAAATATTTACGTTTGCGGTATAAATGTTTATTTGATAGTGTTCAGTTTGAAGTCCTCCGATTGCTACAAGTCGAAGCTCTGCTGTCGGAGCGAATGAACACTGTCTGAAAGCGGCTGCACTTCGTGGCATTATGTCCGCTGCCACCTTTAAACAGCCAGTTCTATAGTCTCAAAAACACCAAAGTGGTTCATTAGCCAAAAGTTAAGATTGTCGGAGCGATTCTTATAAATTACTCTCACTCCAACCTTTTTTCTTAGCTTCGATCTAGCCTAGAAAAGGCTTACTGTGTCTCTTCTACAGGCGGTTGGTCATTTTTCGGACCACAGATGTTATGTTTAAAATAGCATTAAGTGCTAATCTTACTGTAGTGTCTCTGATATAGCAATGAGGCACGTTTAAGCTTCTTAGCAAATGTAGCCTTTTCCAGCGCACTTCAACAGGCGAATATACCATAAAACATTATTGGCTTCACTACGATTTCGTAGTGCCAAAACACAATCTTTGGTGAGAGTCACCACATTTACCCTATAGCTCCAATATAAGGCAACCAATGCCTTTCGAACACTCTCCTTTTGATCGCCATGAAAGCTTTCTACCGCTGATAAGCACTTATCAAGAGGTTGAACACGTGAACCTCCGTATGGAGGCGAGAGCCACGTTTGGGAACTTATACCTCCTAATAAATAAAACCATTTCTGTATGGGTTGATGGCTAAGCCGCTTCAGATTTCACAACAGCTTATCAAAAAATTTGAATTCTAAAAAATAAAATAGTTTTAACGGCTACAATGCCATTCTATAGAATAGAGTACATAACAGACTTCACTTTAAATGAGTAAGCCAACTGATATGAATGAATCGTCATCACAGACTTAAGAGTAATTTATTAATTGTAATTACATGTGAAACAGTTGTGTATATACATATGTATGTGTGTGTTGAGTGAGTGAAGTTAACGCCACACAACAGCACAGCATTTTGCGGCTGGGAGAAAACTATTTACCCAAGCCAACGAGTAAGTGCATAAGTACATTGTTTAAAGGGCCACACAAGTGCCAATTCTCGAATCGCCAATGATGACGATGATTACGAGCACAATGACAATGGTGACTATGGTGACTATGGTGACTATGGTATGACGAAGGCAACAATGACTAAAGTGGCCAGAAGTGGCGACGACGTCGACGACACCTGTTCAACGGCGTCACATACTGGGCAAATGTAAATAACACATTGCGAAGCAAACGCACACACATACACTCCCATACGTATACGGCTGGAGCTACGTTTTGTGGAAATGCAATTGCCTGAGACGCGCTGCTGCAACTGCTGAGGCCGAGTATAAGTCGACTAAATCAGCAAAATATGCTAAATATTGCAAAGCTACAAAACCACAAGAAACCCAGAACTTGGTGCATATGTATGCATGAATATATGTTTATTGTTGTTGCTGTAGAGTGTTTTTGTTGTAAGCGTTATTTTACTCGTTTGCTGTTGTTATTTTCTTTACCGTGTTGTATAGCGTGTCTTAGCATAGTTGGGGTAACTTGCACACATACTTACACACATTTACATATGGATAGATAGGCATACACACATGAACACATGTGTATATGTATACCTAGCAGCAACTAGCTACTGCTGTTTGGCTGGACGCTGATGGTCTTGCATGGCTTTGCACGAGATTTGCGCAGAAATCGCGCGCACAAACAGACTGACATGTCCAACACAGACATACACATAGTTTAGTTACATGTACATATATATTTGTGTAAGTATGCCTGTACATTTGTCTGCATAGCCACATGTGCGTTTACTTTTTCTCGGCTGACTTGATTGTTTTATGCTTGCGAAGTTTGTGGAAGAAGCAGCTTAGATTTAAGCCATGTCTTCTTCAAGTGTCTACTTTTCTTCGTCGTATCGTGCTCGTTACGGCTGCTTCGCACCGCCGCTCTACAGTTGTACGTCGTTTCGTTTGTCAGTGTCGGCGACGATCTTCAGTGTTCTTTCGTGGCTCTGATTTGGCGCTCTTTCCGCAGCCGCCTCATGTGCCAAATGATCAGCGCTTGGCTTGGGGCTGTTGCGTCCTCGTCGGTCGAAGCGCGTTTCTTACTGCTTTTAATTCTTACTTCGTTTACATGCTGCTAGCCATCGTTGTCAATGCTTCTTTTCAGCTTTTCTTTTTGTTATTGCCTTTTCCGTTGTTGTTGTTGTTGTTGTTGTTTTGAAGCAACTTCTTTTGCGTCTGCCGTTTTAGGTAAAAAGCCAAGCGATTTTCTTTTAGTTCTTCGCTGTGTTACTTGTACGTTTTAATTGTTGTTGTTGTTGTTGTTGTTTTTTGCAAATTTTTTGTTGTTGCTTGCACGACCGCCAATACCAGCTAGCGCAACAACAGCAACATCATTATCATCAGCAGCAACGCCAACGCCAACGTCAGCCAAAAGCAATGCCAAAGTCGGAGCCAAAGCCAGTGCCATCGTTGCTGTCGTGACGTCCGTGACCACGAACTTGAAAATGAGCCAAAGCGCAGACCAAAAGCAAAGTGAAGACAACTAAGCTGCGCTCCGCACAACAAGCACCATCGGTCAGAAAACACACACACTCATCACGCCACTGCGCGCGCTATCAAACAAACCAAGCGCGCGCTATGCAGACGAAGTGTTGCAACACCAAAGTTGCTTGCTGCCGCCATCGTCACCGCCGCTGCTGTTGCTTGCTATTGCTGTTGCTCACTTGTGCACGCCAAAGTTGTCGACCATCGCTAAGCCGGCTCATTTCGTTTTGGCTTGTTCATGACCATCAAACAACAATCGCAGCGCTGGCGCTGACTGGTTGCCGAATAGCAGCGCTGTGCGCTTTGCGTTTGCTATAGCGCCGCTGCGACACGAACGTAGTTCAGTTGGTTTGAGTTTGAGCCGAAGTGTGCCGGTTGTTGTATGCTCGGGGTGTTTCAGCGCTCACACGCTTTTTCGCTCTCTCGCTGACGCTTGTAGTTGCTAACGCTGTGATGCTGTTGCGCGCATGTTGCTGCTGCTGTTGGTAGCGTCGCGCATATTGGTTCTTGGACATGGTCAAAGCCAAGAGCAACTGAGATTATTTTACGTACATACACGCTTGTGCATTTTATTTTCTGCTGTGGCGCGGTTTTGTTCAAAAGATATTTTGAAATTAATTAAATTAAATACTTTTTTTATAACTTATAAATATTATATTATAATTTTTATATTTTTAACACRCGCTTTCAATAAGCGCGCCGGTAACAACAGTTACTACCAAAGCGCCACGCAGTTACATGCCACCATGGCGCGTTCACAGAGGCACATACTCCCGCATTCACACACACACATATACATACACATATGTACAGCTTCATCACCTAACACCCAACTGCATTTGTGCTTCCTCTATTCTCTGCCATAACACACTGCTGCCACGCTACCGACTGCAACCGCAGCAGCTGCGTCAGCAATCTCAGTGTTCTAACCGCGCGGCCAAATCGTTCAAACGTTTGCGCCGCTGCTTGTTCGATGCGGTTTGATTTGTTACTCATTTGGTCTGATGCTCGCTTACTGCTTGTGCTTACGCGCACTTGCTTATATGCTTGTTTGAAGCGGTTCGAACACGCGCGTGACTCGCACATTTGAACGTCGCTGCTGCTGACTATCAGCTGCTCTTGCTGATTGCTTACCAACCAAATTCATCATCACCAACTGCACACAGTGTGTGTGTATCGCAACAGTGCGCTTCTCGGCGCTGTTGTCCATCTTCGCTACTTGTGCTGTGCTGTGCAGTGTTATTTGCCGTGGCCGCTGCTATCGCTGCCGCTAACGCTGCTGTTGTGTCTCATCCGACGCGCGCGTTCGACGTTTGGTTTTTGTGGAATTAGTATATGGCTGTCGCTTTTCTACAAGCCGCCGCGCTACGGAGGCTATATAAATAAGCGTAGAGACGCGGAGACTCCGAGTCTCTTTGAATTAAATGAAGCGGTGGTGTCAACAACATCCAACAGCCCACAGCGCTGGTCGTCGCAACTAGCCAACTAGCAATTTTTTTCAGTTTTTGCTTATTTAAAAGTACACACAAATATATATGATTTCTGCTTAGCGAAAAAATATTTCAAAAATAGCAGCTAATTAAAAACTAACCTACGAAACTAGCAAGTAAACGAGAGTTTTGCGAAATTTTTCAAATTTCAAAACCGTTTTTATTTGTTTCTTCTAGAAAAGTAAGCAAACAGTGACTGCGTTAGTGCAAATGCTTTTTGGGCAGTTAAATAATTTTGAAAAATTATTGCAAATAATTTTTATGCAAAGCGAAAATTTTTTGCAAAGCAAATCTCAGAAGTGTTGTGTAAAATAAGTGCTGACCGGTGTTCAAAACTGCCGAAGGACTATAATTAAAAGCAGCAACCACTGACAATGGATTAATTGTAAAACTGAGTGAGAAGTTCAACGTCATTTTATAAGCAAACGTAAAATAATTATTTGGAACTTTTAGCACGAAAAAATCTTATTTTTAGACAATCCTTGCGGTGCTTTAACCCAAGTGAAATATACAATAGTGTAATCTGCCTGAAAAGTGTCAAAAATAAATTGCGTTAAAAAATATTAAAAAAAAAACTACCAAACTTTTTAATTTAAATTGTGTGTTAATTTTTATGAAAAAGCACACAGGCGCCTTGAGTACGAGGAAAATCAAATTAGCAAGTGAAAAAGGTGAGTTGGAGCAGCTTCTAGCTGGCATATAACTTTAAATATTATGTATAACTTAAGCGAAATTCACGGTGATTAAAAACCTAAAAAACTTTGGGGTGAAAACTGAAAATTGTCGTAATGAAAATTGAAAAAAAAAAATTCATTTAGAACTGAAAATTAAAAAAAAAATATATATATTGTGAAATAATGATTAATGAATGATATGAAAGGAATTGTGTAGCTTTTTTTACAGAAATAAAATGTTTCTTTATTCGCAAAATTTTTTTCTGTTTAGAGAAGTGCTTTTTTAGGTTGAAAATATTAAACATTTAAATAGAAATGTTAAAAATTGTTATACATCTTAAAAAATTTTGCGAATTTTTGGGCAAATTTTGTCAATTTTATATAATGAGTAATTACAAAGCTTGAAATGAAAGAATGAAAAT